CAACCACTTGTGCATCGGTCCAACCTCAACCCACATCCATCTCTGCCAGATGCCTCGGATTTACCTAAATTCGGATTCGAATGGAACCAACACGTTTGAAGCTCGTTTTCCTGGTCCAGGCACACATTCATATTGGAATGGAGGCATCGTGCCTTTGTGATTCATCAATCATGACGACTGTTCCTAGCCTCATCCGCCTCATCCACCCCTATTGACGCGATCCTCGGAGAATAGAGATCAGATCATTATCACACTCGATTCGTTGTATGTCTGTCTCTGTTCTCCAATCCATATACAATCGCCTAAGTCGTCCCGTCCTCACTCCCACTCGCACCTACAACAAGTTGCCTATAATTCCTATAATTCACTTCTTCCCTATCTTCAGCGTTCATCCAGCACACACGCACACACACACTCACAAAGGACACGTCCCCACGCCCGTCGAACCTCTTCAACACACTCCCTTTAACCCTCACCTTCCCTCCCGAAATGGGAACGACCCTAGTGTCCCGCCTAAGTGGGAAGGTAGAGGCTCGAGATTGTGAATACTGGAGAGAGATCATCATTGTGAATGCATCGAGCGCTGACGTTCATCGCTGATTTCTTGAGGGTGAGTTTTTCGTCAACTTTGAGCTCGAAGTAATCTGTATTTTGGCGTCCCAATGTCCAGTCGACTATTCACATTTTATCATCACCTCCGTATAGTCCTCAAACTCGTCCTTTCATTTCCCAATTCGGGGACTGACGCTGGTCCCTTTGATATGACGGATGCCACATTTTTCCAACGTTCGAGAATTCGATCGATCCCCAGATTTGAAACGTTAATTGAGTTGGGAGTAAGAGATAAGGTCATTGGAGAGTCTGGGCCTAGGGTGAGCAAAATAAAAAAAGCTGGTACTCATCTCGCTCAAAGCTTTCTGAGATCCACACTTAATTTCGCACTCCAAAGCCATGATGCCAAGTAGATCTTCTCGCGCCTGTAGAACTTCTACCTCCACGAAACTAGGGTGCTACCTCGAAGCGCGATTGTGGTGCGATATATCCTACTTTTCCAACCAATTGATTCACAAACGATGGTGCTTATGTAAACGCGACGAGCGATGTTTATGACAGAGGTCCTATGGTTCACCTGAATGGGTTGAACCCTTTTAAATATAAGGCTATGGCGCGTAAGTATCTCAGACTCGTGGTAGAAGTCTTAATTTGCATGTACCTATGGTGCGTAAGTATCTGCACCAACAGTTAGACAGTTTTTGTAAAGAATAATAAAATCAATCTCACCTCAGACTCGTAGTAGAAGTCTGAGGGAGGGGGAGACCAGAAAGCTCCCTTCTTATACGCGAGCTACATGACACAGTGGGAAGTAAATCATGGTAAAAAACATCGGGAAACCCAGGTGAAAATCGGAGTATCTTACGGTGGAATACCCTAGCAGAATACCTGAGGCCCCAGGGAAAATACCTGGAAGGTGCACATGCCCCTTAGTAAATTTGACCGAATACCTGGGTTCCCCAGATGTGATCGGTTGTGTCATATCCATCCCTGGCCATCGACTTCCAATCCCTCTGATCCCTCTGGTCTACCTCCGCTCCTTCTTCACTAACCTCGGAGCTCCCATATTCCGCAATCCCCTCGGTACCCCTTGATGGTCACCACCCCCTCCTTTCAATTTATTACCTACACCTCCCTAAGTACCGAGCCCCAAAGGCTTCCAGACAGCTCTGACGTCCGCTAGCGCACCCCCGCCTCCGCTGGGCAATACACTCGCTTGCCCTGCAAAGCCCACCTTCAGGCCCATCCCTCCTTTCCGTTTCTGGGTGATCGCCTACCTTTCCGTTAACCCCGTAACCCGACTTGTCAGTAATATTCAATCGGCTAATGTCTAACCCTGTTAGCTCCGCTCCGCTCGGCTCTGCCATTTGTGGACCTGCCCTCGTTGTAACTATATATATACTCAACCTGTACATAGGTTACACCTCAGTAATAAAATCGACTAGAGTTTACCCCCCTTCAGTTCTGGTTGCCAGTTTAGTAAGTTAGGGCATGGACATGTTACTTGGCACAGCACTCCTGGCATAAGTCACTGAGGCTGAAGCCCCCCGCCATGGAGACACTCCTTCGTCTCAACCTGGTCTCTGACAGGTTGATGATTTACTTGTGGTCCCAAGGTATTGTACTAAGGATGTACTAGGTGTTGTTGCATGTTCTTTTCTGAGTAATTTATGATGGGATACCCAAGTACTGACCCATGTTTTGTACTTTGTGTTGGAATTTGTACATGTGGTCTCAGGAACCTTAATGCATAAAATATGGACATTCTGGGAGTTGAACTGCAGAGCCCTGCATAGGTACCTAGAGTGTGTTACCATTACACTAAATGCCTGCATTAGGCAGAGGTGGTTTCTAACACACCCCCTTCACATTGGATTGAGCCTGTGATCCACATGTGACCCTAACCACCAGGCTTCCAACAGCCCGTGAGCTGTCACCCCCTGAATTCATATTCAGGCCGGACTTACTGCTAATCTCCTACATGTCCACATCATGTGGTCTGAAGCAGCCGGATTTGGGTCCTTAGTGCTCTGAGCTACACCCCCTGAAACTTTGTCAGGCCAGCTAATTTAATGCTTGACTTCACGTGCCCATCTCACATGGCAGCAACCCTTAATGCATAAAATATGGACATTCTGGGAGTCGAACCGCAGAGCCCTGCATAGGTACCTAGAGTGTGTTATCATTACACTAAATGCCCGCATTAGGTGGAGGTGGTTTCTAACACTTTGGGGCAGAGCAGTGGTTTACTTATGTGAACTGCCATATCATACTGTGTGGCCCTTAGTTCCTTACTTTGGACAAACATTGTACTGGGGTACAATAGATGAATTATTTATTTATTTATTTCTGAATACTACTGTGGGACTGGTGATACAGCATAACACTAGTAGTGCAAAGTTTGTTTCAGGTAATGACACACCATAGTCTCTGGCAAAGCATCCAAGAAATGAATGAGTAGAGGAAGCAAGCAACATGAGGGTGAGGATATGAGTGTTGATGGGAGATCAATGAGTTGCACGAAAAGGAGTAATTCATGTTCACATATTCACAGCACCTGCATGTGTGTGGCTGCTGCAGATCCTTGTTATGACATGGGCTAGGAATGGGATGAGATTATACTTGAGCTTCATCCAATAGTTTTTTGTTGAGGAATGGTGGGTCTTTGTCAGGGCACACACCTGCCTGACCCAGCTCCACCCGCCCTGACCCGGTATCCTGCTCACCTCTACCCCCCACCCTCCATCATGTTTCCTCAACTCCTGTTCTTCTTTCTATCCTTTTGTTCTTTTATTCCTTCGTTCTTTCTTCTATCTTTATCTAACGGACTGTCAAAAACCCGGGTTGTGGAAGAGGGGGTAAATGCGTGAGTCCGAATGCAGGCGGGGCTCAACTAGAGGGGGGTCCGAGGGCTCTGGTAGTGAACCGAAGCTTCTCAGGGAGCCCGGTTCTGCTGTATGGTACAAGAGGCTCTAAGAAGGACGCGGCCTCAGCGACTTGGAGGGAGCGCTGTGCCTCCGTTACGTCTCAGTTAGTCCTTGTATTTCTTATGTCTGAGGTGTCTTGTAGAACGGGAGCGGGATTCACTCAGAGGGACTTTGGGTGGCATTTTAGTCGAGATTAGAACTAAGGAACTACAGGTTCTAATCTACGGGTATTTATAAAGGAGAATGGGGAGGATGGGGAGGACTTTAGTCAAAGTCCGAAATGACAATTGGGACAACACCGAAAGGTACCGAATGATACCGAGAGGTCCCGAATGATATCTAAAATGGGGAACCGAGGTGTCGGGCCAAGGAGGGCAGAGTTGGAGGCCGGAAAATGAATGGGGAAGACAAATGGGTAAAGGGGGTTAGCTGACTGGATGGTAGTAAAAGGGTAGTCATGCTAAGAATGGAAGGTGACTAATAAATGATAACGTGAGGGAGATCACCGAAGGATGCGGGTAGCTCCGAAAGCGGAGTTGCATATCCGAAGGATGTTAGGTGACTCAAATAAATGAAATGGGTGGAGGAAGGGTTTAAGGGCATGTCACGGGATATCAGAGGTCCGTTGGAATATCGGAGCAGATCCAGGGTCTCCGAATGTTCCGACTTGGGACCGAGGTTCCGGGATGGGAGTGGCCAAGGTTCGGTGTACCGCTACCAGACCGGAGCTGAGACAGTCGGGAGGGAAGGTGACTTGGAGAGTGGGGAGGCATGGTGTAGGGGATGGTGAAGTTGTTAGGAAGGTGTGGTATGGTGGGAGTGCGCGGGGTCGGGATTCCGGGATATGACACGGACGACCTTTCCTCATACCTATGTATTATTGACCCGCCCATGATGTGTGCATGACACACCCAGCCCCAGACGACCCGGACGGCCTTGTGGTGCAACCCAGCATGCGTGCGTGCAGCACATGCCCTCGGGATCCCCCATGGGGACACCTGGATGACTGCGGCTGTATGCAGGGTGATGTGGAAAACCTCATGTGACCCAAGCTGCATGTACATAAAGGTACCTGGGGTGGGAACCGAAGAAGTAACCTTCTTCTCACAGTTCCCACTTCAGGTAAGTAGCATAGCCCCCCCTTTTAATAACAACTCACAGTTCCCACTTCAGTCTGAGTGGCCAGGGACCCTCATCCTGGACCGGGCTTGCCAGTATGCATGCCCACTCCACACCCTGCAACGGCCTCAGTGCCGGGCATTACCCTCGGGCCGCCTCGACCCCGGACGTGTCCCTGACAGTCTTGAGATCAACATGAAGTAGAGGCTGCAGTTGCCAGGCCATTTTCACTTTCCCATGGTCAATGGTGAGGAAATTTGTATCCGGTGCGACTACTGGACTTATCTGGAGCTCCAAATTCTTATGACGTAAACCAGCATGACTGGACAAATGACATAAAATGGACAAGCCTGGTATCGAACCCAGGACTTCTAGCATGCATCCATACACTACTCGCCCATTATGCCAGGGGGGGGTACCCCTTCCCTGATGGTTTTGGGAGATCACTTGATCCCTTCCTCCAACAAATGGTGCATGGAGATAAGCTTGAAATCCAGGGAGATGGGAGTACAAGAAACAAAGGGGGTCCAAATTGGAACAAAGGTGTCCAAATGGAGACAAAGGGAAGTATGGGTTGGGAACTACACCAAGGGTCAAGGGTTAGACTCTATGGTGGGAGGTAGGGAGGGTGAAGGCCCAGAGGGGCAGGAGGCTGAGAGGGAATGGGGTGGATGTGTCAGAAGATGGGCAGATTTCTGTTGGAGTCAGGGTCAGTGTCAAAAACCCGTCGGTTATGGAAGAGGGGGTAAATGCGTGAGTCCGAATGCAGGCGGGGCTCAACTAGAGGGGGTCCGAGGGCTCCGGTAGTGAACCGAAGCTTCTCAGGGAGCCCGGTTCTGCTGGATGGTACAAGAGGCTCTAAGAAGGACGCGGCCTCAGCGACTCGGAGGGAGTGCTGTGCCTCCGTTACGTCTCAGTTAGTCCTTGTATTTCTTATGTCTGAGGTGTCTTGTAGAACAGGGACAGGATTCACTCAGAGGGACTTTGGGTGGCATTTTAGTCGAGATTAGAACTGAGGAACTACAGGTTCTAATCTACGTGTATTTATTGAAGGAGGATGGGGAGGACTTTAGTCAAAGCCCGAAATGACAAAATGGGGAAAACACCGAAAGGTACCGAATGATACCGAGAGGTACCGAAAGGGTCCGAACGATATCTAAAACGGGGAACCGAGGTGTCGGGCCAAGGAGGGCGGAGTTGGAGGCCGGAAAATGAATGGGGAAGACAAATGGATAAAGGGGGTTAGCCGACTGAATGGTAGTAAGAAGGTAGTCGTGCTAAGAATGGGAGATGACTAATAAGTGATAACGTGAGGGAGATCACCGAAGGATGCGGGTAGCTCCGAAAGCAGAGTTGCGTATCCGAAGGATGTTGGGTGACTCAAATAAATGAAATGGGTGGAGGAAGGGTTTAAGGGCATGTCACGGGATGTCGGAGGTCCGTCAGGATATCGGAGCAAATCCGGGATCTCCGAATGTTCCGACTCGGGACCGAGGTTCCGGGATGGGAGTGGCCAAGGTTCGGTGTGCCGCAACCAGACCGGAGCTGAGACAGTCAGGAGGGAAGGTGACTTGGAGAGTGGGGAGGCAAGGTGTAGGGGATGGTGAAGTTGTTAGGAAGGTGTGATGTGGTGGGAGTGCGCAGGGTTGGGATTCCGGGATATGACAGTCAGAGGTTTTGGCAGAGGTCTGTTGGAGTGCACACATGCAGATGTGCAGGTGGAAATTAGTGGCATGTCCAGAAGTGCTGTTCAAGGTTAGCAGAGTGGGATTGTGGCCTCAGCAACTCAAGGGGAGCACTGTGCCCTGAGCTTGATGTCTGGGGGAGATCCCTTATTTACAGATTGAACTTACAGTGAACTTCAAGCAAAACTTGCAGGCAGTGCAGGCCTGTTGGAGGAGCATGAGCTCAGTGAGGACAAACTCAGAGGGGGGTAGCCCCCTTTGCAGAGGTGGGGACTGTTGGAGATCAACCTCAAAACATGTATTTACATATATTTGTGCCAACAATTCTATTTAGTGGTCTACTCTCATCTGGTCCAACCCCAGCCCTATTGTGGCCTCATCCTATGGTTTTCTAGGGACTCAGACCAGACAGGGGGTACTCTAGTTGATTCCAGACTAAGGTCCCTGAAAGTATTTACAGGATATAAATAGGCAGGAGGAAAACATAGAAGGGCCAGTCAGTCCAGCATGGTCCAGTGTGGAAATGAGTGGGGATTGTCAAACTGAATAAAGACAAGAGCCCAGGAAATGGGAGGCAAGAAATGAACTAAGTGGATCAAGTGCCAATATTGACAGGTTAAGTGAATGAATAAGAAGTGCATCAGCACACAGATCAAGTGCCAATATTGGCAAGTTAAGCGAATGAATAGATGAACAATATAGGCACTCAGCAAGGAATGAATGGTATGCTGCCAAGTGACAAAAATGGCCAGAGGAGGAAAGTGGAGGTCAGCGTGTGGCACCAATACAAGTCCGCAAATAAGCCAGGTCAGTGCAGTGCCGACACAAATCTGTGAGACAGAGGTGGATCCATCAGTACTGTCACAAGGACAGCCTGATGACCAGCAGAGGTCCTGAGGGGAGTGGGAGTGTTGACCTGACCACAGGGTGTGGAGGGCAACCAGAAGCATCAGAGGTGCAATGTTAGAGACTCAAGGAAGGTGTCATATCCATCCATGGCCATCGACCTCCACTGCCTCCAATCCTTCCAGACCACCTCCGCTCCTTCTTCGCTAACCTTGGAGCTCCTGTATTCCGCAATCACCTCCACCTCCCTCGATGGTCACCACCCCCTCTTTTCAATATATTACCTATGCCTCCCTAAGTATGGAGCCCCGAAGGCTTCCGGACAGCTCTGACGTCTGCTAGCACACTCCTGCCTCCGCTGGGCAATTCACTTGCTTGCCCTGCAAGCCCACCTTTGGGTCTATCCCTCCTTTCCATTTTTGGGTTATTGCCTGCCATTCCGCTAACCCCGTAACCTGACTTGTCGGTAATATTCAGTCGGCTAATGTTTAACTCTGTTAGCTCCGCTCCACTCGGCCCCACCATTCATGGGCCCGCTCTCACTGCAACTATATATACTTAACTTGTACATAGGTTACACCTCAGTGATAAAATCGACTAGAGTTGATCCCCCTTTAGTTCTTGTTGCCAGTAAGTAAATTAGGGCATGGATGTGTAACTTGGCACAGCGCTCCTGGCTTGAGTCGCTGAGGCTGAAGCCCTCCTCCACCACGGAGACAAATCCTTTGTCTCGATCTGGTCTCTAACAGAAGGTAGTCTCTTTCTGCTTCCACTGTGCATCCTTTTTTCTTGCCGCCTTTTCTGTGTTGCATGCATGGCAACTCTTCAGTAATTTTGTAGTGGAATTACAGGAAGCAGCAAATTCATCAATAGACTTTTCTGTCTTGCATTTTTTGCAGTGTTTTGTAGCTTTGCTAGAAGACATGGGGATGAGATGGGGTGTAACAGTGTAGGAGGGCACAGCAAGTACCACACAAATGAGGCCAGAATCGCATTTTTCGAGGTTCCAATGAGCACCCTCAAGCATCCAACACAATCCCAATGCCCACAACACATTTCCACATTTTTTCCAATTTTTTCCATGCTTTTTTCTCAAGACTCATATTGCCATTTTGTCAGGGCACACCCACCTCACCCGGCTCCACCCGGCTCCACCTGGCTCCACTCCACCTGCTACCCCCTTCTCCCCCTTCCTATCTCCTCCTCCCTCCACTTCCCCCTCTTCCTATTTCTTCTCCGTCTCATTCTCTATTCTTTCTATTTCTATTTACACAGACGACTTTCCTTGATCAATGTACTACTAACCTGCCCGTGACCCATGCACGACGCACCCAACCCCGGATGCTCCGGACGACCCCTGGGTACACCCACCACGCACGCTGTAGGCGGGCACAGCCGGTACCACACAAACAAGCCGATTATCGCGATTCTACCACCCACGTCAAGCATCCCACTCCCGAAACACATCTACCATTGTTCCATATATCCCTTCCACGTTTTTCATATTTCTTCCGATTTTTTAAAGCCATTCCCGACCACGGACAACCATCAGTTTCCAAATTGGGCAACTGTCACCCGCATATTCCACCGCTTCCTCTGTATCTCCATCAATTCTCCACCGATCTGGACGAATTTGGTATCGTTGGAAAGCCCTTGTCAACACGAGTCGAACGATGTTACGAGTGACGTATTTGGTTCAGCGGTTGAGGCGATCGCCATGGTTCTTTATTTCCTTAACAACATCAATATTTCTTTGATATTACTTTTTTCTTACTTGTTCCTTGTGGATCTGTTGCCATCCTAAACCCGTCGGATCATTCGGATTTCCACGCATACCTTTTTCATATTTATAACTGCCTCTTCCCTGTATTTACAAAAAAAAGGACTCCCCCAACAGAGAGAGGTGCTCCCCAACAAGAACATGAAGTTCTAGCAGACGTTACCAGTGCCCAGAGCGGCGAATACGAAGCCAAAGAGGCTCAAGACATCGTGCAGGGACAGAGTTCCCATCAGTTTGATTATCAGTGAGATTTACGAGATTATCATTTTTATCACATTGCACCCGGACCATTTCCCCCCCCCTCCTCTTCATCCGAACCTCCCCTGAGCACTACCAACTCCGTGGCCCCCTCTCTTTCTCGTTAGGGTGGTAGATCCCTTGCCCCCTTACAATGCCTGCAGCGGATCCCTTCAGGATCCCCCATGGGGATACCCGGGTGGCTAGGGCTGTGCATGGGGACAACGTGGCAACTCTCATGTGACCTGAGCACCATGTATATAAACATACCTGGGGTGGGAACCAGAGAAGCAGTCTTCTTCTCACCATTCCCACTTCAGGTAAGTAGCTTAGTTTTCCTTCTAATGATATTTAACACCATTCCCACTTCAGGGACACTTGCCTGCACCGGACCCATCCCTGTACGTGCCCGCTTCATACCCCACTGGGCTCTCAGCGCCGGGCGATATACCCGGACACTCTCAACCCCGGACTGGTCCCTGACACATTTCCCCAAATTTCACGGTTATCCACCATTTCCCCCATATCTCCACCAATTTTCCACCAATTCACATGATTTTGAGCTCTAAGGACAGCGACGGATCAGGAGAAGAGGATGGAATGATGAGACGGGAGTTAGAACGACAGATACGTGGTGGAGAAGTGAGATTAATGGTTGATATTGACCTTATGGGCCTCAATTATTGATTTTATTGTTACCTTGTTGTCAGGGACGCGTCCGGGGTCGAGAGGGCCCGGGGGTAATGCCCGGCACTGAGGCCGTCGCAGGGTGTGGAGCGGGCGTGCGTACTGGCGGGCCCGATCCGGGACAGTGGTCCCTGGCCACTCAGACTGAAGTGGAGAATGTGTTATTATTATTAGAGAGGAAAACTATACTACTTACCTGAAGTGGAGAATGTGAGAAGAAGGTTACTTCTTCGGTTCCCACTTCAGGTACATTTATGTACATGCGGCTTGAGTCACATGACAGGTGCCACGTCATCCTCGGAGGCAGCCGCAGGCATCCGGGTGTCCCCATGGGGGATCCCGAGAGCATCCGCTACATGCGCGCATGCTGGGCACAGCGGGAAGCCGTCCGGGGTGTGTGGGCCGGACGGGTCAATAGTACATCGATACAAGGGAAGGTGGTCCGTGTAGATAGAAAGAAATAAACAGGAAGAGGAGGATGAGAAGAATGAAATAAAGAAAGGGGAAAGAAAAGGGAAAAGAGGGGGGAGGAGAGGGAGGAAGGAGGGGGGAGGGGGATAGACAGCGGGGAGCGGGTGTGGTGTGGCCGGGTGGGCCCGGGTGGGCCCGGGTCAGGCGGGTGTGCCCTGACATCACCCCCTCCTTAAGCCGCTTCGCCTCGAAGCGGCCAGGGGGTTCGTTCTCTCCCTTCCTGGGGCGTGGGGGTGTGTTTGGTGGAACTCCTCGATCCGGTCAGGGGCATGGATTAGTTGGTCTCGGGGGAGCCATTCATTCTCTGAGTTCGGCCAACCCGCGAACTTTACTAAATACCAGAGCTTCCGGCGTAACCACTTAGAGTCCAGTATTTTTTCCAC